TATTACTACTCTTATTACACGTAATTAGAATAACAATAAAGTGATCAAATGTATGAAATAACAACAATGAAAATGCAACTGTAGAAATTATGCTGTGAACATGTTAGCTTACATATACAACTATGTTATAATTAAGTTTCTTCAAAGTCACCACTTTTGCCTCCAATCCAGCAACTAGTCTGGACATTCGAACCACACTATCACTATCCAGTACAAAATAAATAAATGCATACATAAATATAGAATGTATTAATTATAAAACTAATCTATGTTATATCTGAGCTCCTTCACCACCTTTTGACTACATTCCAGCTCTGCATATTAGTCCAGACATTCTCTCAATAAACTACATGAGATGCATCCTGGGATGCCTTTAAACAGTAGTGATGGAGCTCCATTGTATGCAAGACACTTGTCCATAGGAATAAACACATAGAATACACAGAAATAAAATAAAATAAAAATATAGGTTATAGAAAATGTATCGATTATAAATATTGAATGAATGAATGAATGAATCAATCAATGAATCAATCAATCAATCAATCAAAATTCAGTTTAGTAAAAAATCTTCGCATAGGCACAATTTATATTTGTCTACAAAACTACATTTCAAGCATTTAAGCATAAGCCTTGAGATAAATTCTGTTAAAGGGATAGTTCACCCAAAAATGAAAACTTGTCGTGTACTCTCGTGAATGGCGGAAGAGAAGAAATTGTTGAATAAAGTTGTTATTTTTGTTTTCTTTGCGCACAAAAAGTATTCTTGAACCTTCATAAAATTGCGGTTGAACCACTGACATCACATGGACTATTTTAACAATGTCCTTACTACCTTTCTAGGCCTTGATCGTGTCAGTTCCGTTGCTGTCTATGCAGGGTCAGAAAGCTTTTGGATTTCATCAAAAATATCTTTATTTGTGTTGCGAAGATGAACGAGGGTCTTACGGGTTTGAAACGAAATGTGGGTGAGTAATTAATGACAGAATTAAAATTTTGGGGTGAACGATTCCTTTAAGGTTATTTAAACATTGATAATCATTCATATACATTCATTCACATTAATACATTTATGTTACCTTCAATTTAGCCACTTCTATTGAAAGCAAAATACCTTCGTAAAAACTGCATTAATAAGTCACTCTAATATATACAAATTGCACGGCCAGAAAAAGATTATCAGCAGCAGTCTCTCCTACAAGCTGCATTTTCAGTCAAGTCCAGGTCACAATTTATAGCCCCCCCACCCCACAATGAATGGATCGTTCATTTTCTTCTCTCCCTCAAAGCAAACGCACTGCTGAAAAGTCTTAATTATCCAGCAGGGCTAGATGGATGAGAAACACTGTACTTGTGAACAGCTTCAGGTAATGTCGCTGCATTGGTAGAAAAAAACCCTTATAATAAAATTCTAGCCATATTGTGTAAAAGAAAACTTAACTAATTGTGATATCAGCTATACAGTCTTGACTAAAAAATACAAATAAAATAAAACACTGAACATTTCCACCATTATATATATTAGTGACAGCATGCCCCGAACTCTAAAGACAGAACGTACAGTGCTTTTCCGTCAGGCTAACAGATTACTTCGCCATTCATAGATCAAATTAGGCTAGGTACATGTTTACCTAGCCTAAATAAAACATATAATATACAAAGTATGGGTCGCCTAAATAAACCCATGTACTCCGTCTCACAGGAAAAGCACATTAGCACTTCATTCATTTACACAAATCAAACACTGAAATACCTTTTTATAGTACATTGATATTTCATCTTACCTCCATCATCTTACCTAATAAAATGCCTTTTAGACACATTCCCATCACTGTTTAAACATTTTATACATCAGAATCAGCACTAGGGTGCATTTAGGTATTAAAAAAAACAGGGAACAAATCTGTAGCTGATATAGTATGTGCTCAGCTCAGCGGGATCTAGTATATCTGGAGGCTGTGAGAGTGTGTGAGTGTGTCTCAGGGGCGTTAGGGCCATTATAGGCCCTCATTCTGTGTTTAAAGCCAAATGAGAGGTAATCATTTCAGTAGTGCAATGTCCTAGCACTGCGGGACACAGCTCTCTCTTTCTCTTTCCACACTCTCTTTAGCCATTCACACTCATGCAAGTACTGCAGCGGTGATTTAATCTGGTCTGCTTCTATTTTTATTTTATTTTATTTTTTTGCTCTCTAAATAAGACATCTATAATATTACTTCTTGCTTCTAAATAGTATAATAAAAATTATCTAGAAAACAGAAAGACAAATTAATTGTGTCAAAATGGTTGCTGACCCCTTATCCAGCACAATTATAAATCAAAAGCAAGCATTTTTACATAATATCATTTCAGATGACTTGCGTGATCATCATTTATGTGATCAGTGACTTATAATTTTTTGAAAATATGCTTAACATAAAAGTGTGCTGTCAACTGATATTCAAACATGTTTTTGATGAAAGCGGTCGAGTTAACACAATTTTATGCCTAAAACACTTATTTTATGCCTCACTTATTTTTCACATTTTTTAAATCATTCATTTATTTATTCATTCATTCATTCATTCATTCATTCATTCATTCATTCATTCATTATATTTTAAAGGTACCATGTTAAATCTAAACATGTTCAAACATAACTTTACATTCAATATTTTGGTATACTAAAGTATATAAAAGTATTTGTTTTATTTTTGCACCAGGGAGCAGTTCTGATTTCCCCCATATAAAGTGATTAATTATTAAAAGAAATTTACTTTAATGAACATCTTAACCATGTAAAATAGGCTTTTTTTCCCACTGTGTAAACGGAGAATGACACCACAAATAATGCATGGATTATTATGAGATGAAAAACAGCCACTGCAAAGATACAGTAGTCTTTTCTTTTGTGCTTACATACAGTAGTCCTTTCACTCAAATGACTGTACTGAAATTCTTGCTTGATGCAACACACCTATAATTATCCAGTGTTATGACATGTACTATATAAGGCAGCGATAACAAGTAAGCTCATAGTGTATAAAATAGTTATTTTCTGCCCACTTTTCTCCTGGTTTAACAACTGTCAATCCCACACCGGCATGCCCTAATGATGAAAAAGTGGACGTGGATGAAGACTAGCCCTCAAAAGCACACAAAGCCAACTGTGGTATATACAAGCATCACCAATGGAACACAATGTGAAACCCCATGTTTCCCTCCATCTTTGCAACCTGAAGTATACAGAATCTAATCACCATGGAAACACATGATCATCTGTGAAACTGGTGATCAAGCGATATAGGTTTCAATAACTCGTGTCAATATCTGGAAACAGATTTGCCGATTAATTTTATATTGCTAACACACACTTCAAAATTTTACACTTTAATAATTAATTTGATTAAAAATACTGTAAAAACTAGATTTTTTCAATTTAAGTATTTGTGAAATTACATTTACATTTAAAATTTAATTGAACATATCAAATTAACTTGTATGTATCAATATTGAATTAGTAATTACTCAAAATTCACTATATTTACATTTAAAATACTAATAAAAATGTGCATTATCAATTGACTGCTGGTAGATTATTGACCCAACACAAGGGCGTCTTACATACGCCAGTGCAGATTCATTTAAAATATATAGTTGGATGATGTTTCAAACATAGGAGGCCTATTCTGAGCATGTCGTCATTTGTATTCAAACACTAGATATCAATAATTGCACAGAAGTAAACTGTTTCCCTAAAAGGCCAAAACGTATCTTAGTCATAGTTATCTTCAACGAATTTTCTCAAAATGAATAACCTCAGACTCATCTTTTATTCACTCTCTTGTTGTTTCAAACCCATAGAAGTTTCTTTCTTCCAAGAAGGACAAAAGAAGAAATTCTAGCAATTTACTGCTCTTCTCTTTGCATGCAATTACAATGAATGGAGCTTTCAAGCTCTAAAACAACAACTTGTTTGTGAATCAGACATGGCTACTTCTCTCATGAATGCACTTTTAAGTGAAGAACATCCTACATTTCGGACTGTCCATCTTACCAACTATCATGTGACTTCAGGAGACTTGGAACATAGCGCACAAGTCATTTGGACTACTTTTATGATAATTTTATGGTGCCTTTTGAAGCTTTAGACCCCTTCATTGTAATGGCAGCAGGGACGCGGGAAGATGTTTTCGGTTGGGGGTGCTGTGTGTGTCCGTGTTGGGTGAAGGGGGGGGGGGGGGTGGGTGTTGTTTGGATGCCGCTTTTCGAAAGT